GCAACAGAGATGGAAGAAATCATGCGCGATCGTGCCAAAGCGTGGTCCACGCAAGAAGACCCCTTCGGCAGCGAGCAAGCCTGGGATTGTACAGGACAGGAGGGCGTATACCTGTGGTCCAAGTACGCCCACACCACCTATTTCTCTCCGCCCATAGACTAACACCTGTCCATAGATACTTTAACTACACATCCGCAGCACAAAAGACCATTAACTCCATTAGAGGATACATGCCCACCGTAGCCCACTGGGGCTGGAACGGCAATGCTCGACGATACTGGGACTTCACGTATGCTCTTCCCAGGACTCCAATTCCCTTCTAACTCGATAAGTGTACACTAACAAGTAACAGAACAGCAGGAAAGCTCTCCCGCATCGAGCGCCAAATCCACCACTACGGCTCAAGCCTTAATGCCCTCCCCATGCTCGATAACTACCGCTCACTCACAAACCCAACAAGTCAATCCAGTTTCTACGACCTCCGCATCGGCTACGGAGGTAACCAAGGTCCAACGACCAACGTCGCGTCCGACGGCTTCGGGTCCATGTCGTTCCACTCATTCCCAGAGACATTGGCATGGGATGACTACACCGGTGACTATGGACCCGGTTTTCTAGGCCAAGTCCTGGGTGCTGTGACGGTTCTGTTGAAACATCCTGAATTTGGATGGGTAAGTTTCGGAGGGAATGTTGATTCATCTTCTTCGAACGATACTGTCACGGTGCAGCCACGCGATACTGTTCGGAGGAGGGTGTATCTGGCGGATCTGGGGCTGGATGTTTCGATTGATGCGGGTGCTATTGAGGAGGTGAGGGTCTTGTATGGTGAGAACAAGGTCGAGTTTTATTTGGTTGATCGGGCTGATGGGTCCGAGGGGGTGCCTGCTACGAGGGCGGCGGTGGGGTATTCTGTTACCTCAGTGGCTGGCGCAAAGGGGATTCAATTACAGACTGATGGAGTGACGAAGGGGAGGTATGGGTGGGAGGTGAAGCTTGAGTCGGGTAAGGGGAAGGTGGTGTTTGAGTGGTAGATATAGCCTGAGATAGTTTGACGAGGCATTCATGCTGAAGAAAGATGAAATGAAATTTTTTTCTCTTAAAGCTCTCTTGTCAATTTACAAAGACTTCTCACTCAAATATACAATATGTGCGTTCGACATTCCTGCTCAAGGAAAGGGATAGAGTGAAATCGACCCGAATATAACATAAATCACTAAACATCCATTCCCGCCGCAGAACCCACAACATTCCTCCCTCTCCTCCTCAGCAGCCTCCCTAATATACGGACTCCTAGCACGTATCTCCTTCCCCCAAACAAAGACCGCGACCGGAGCAAACGCCAACACCAGAGAAACCAAACCCAAAAGCGAACTCGCCCAATGTGACCCCAAATTCGTATACATAGATTGAGCCGCCAACGGAAGAAACGCAACGAACATATTCTCGCCTAGACCAATAGCTCCAACAGCGCTCGCCGCAAACATGCTATACGCATCGATCAGGTAGTTTGCATTGCTGACTATAACGCACGTACAGCCAGCGCCGACCATAGCAAGACCAATGGCTGGAGCAATCCACGGGATAGAAGGATAAGATGTCCACGCGTAGACGAACATGCCCCCTGCGACACTGATTAACCCGCCTGCTAGGGCTTGGTATAGACGGGCTTCGGGGATTTCTTTTCCTGGGGTTTCTGTATTCCGTAAGGCGGACTGGTAGTACCAGCGGTTGGTGAGAAGGCAGTATATCCAGCCGATGATTTCGCCGACAACAACGGCCGCTTGCACGTATCCTCCCTTGACGGCATCCCAACCGTATAGTTCGCCGAAGACTTGCTCTGCTGATTGGGTGAATAGGTAGATGGTTCCTATGCTGAAAGCAGACCATATTGTGGAGACGAAGACCACTGATTCTGTACAGAGCATGTATAATGGTCGCTGGACACTCTTCCAGACAATCTGGACGATAGACGTGGTCTCGAACTCTTCTTGTGTGTATGTCTTTCTGCCTTCCTTCCGTAGTTTCTGTGCTCGGGCTTTTAGGATAGCAGAGCCACGGGTCTCCGGCAACGCGAAAACAAAGAGCGGGAAGAAAAGACCAGTCCAAATAAGCTGTAGATATCCAATCCAACGCCACGACAAGAATTGGTAGATCGAAGCACCAATAACCGGTCCCATACTGCTGGAGGCCAGGTATATGGTTATATACATGCTCAGGGGAACAGTACGTGCGCGGTTTCCAACATAAATAATAGATATGACTCCGGCCACTGTATTAGCCAGAATGGCAACGCAACCACCGGAGAAGAACCGCGTGATGATAAGCGTAGCGAAGTTCTGAGCCACGCCCGTTGGGATCAAGAAGCAAATGTAGATCAGATAAACGGCCAGGAAGACGTATCGGATGCCGAAGTCTTCCATGACAGGTAGAACCACAAGCGAAAAGAGAGCACCTCCCACGCCCCAGGAGGTAATCATCCAGTAGGAGTTTGGGAAGTTGGCTTCATTGATGTTAAACTGTCTATCGATTGCATAGTGCGCGGGCGTGATGATGGTTCCATTCATCAGAGCGATGAAGGTTGCGAAGAGCCCAATTCCGGTGACAGCTGACTTCTTCCAAGGGGGCCAGTTTATTGGGTTTTCGGGATCGTTGTCTCCATCCCAGCTTATTATCACAGTTTCTGAATCAGAAGATTGGCCCTCTAGATGTCTTAGTATATTATGTCGTCAAGGCATATGTGGTCTATCTAACCTTCGGAGGGTGAAATGGTGGCCGGCGTCACTGTCACCTTTGTGTCGTCGGTAGCAATAGACATAATGTTGGTATGTTGTAAAGCGAGGACTTGTTATATAAAATAGAAATCTATCAACATCAGATCGTGAATAAGAGTGTATAAACCTTTAAGCAAACTCTATACATCGGGTGTGCCTCTGTGCATGGAAACTCCCCCTCTTCTTGACGGCATCTGCTAGTCGGCTCCAGGGATTTGCTTTATGAGTCCTATGATCCTTCTTTGCTTTGTTTTCGTCCCACCCTTTGCCAATTTAATTTGTCATGTAGCTTCTATTGCGCACAATTCAATAGTTATGTCCGGATCCGTGTAGATCCACACCGCCTCTCCATCTGATTCGGCCGCTCAAATTCCTCGATACTAGTCGGTCAACAGCATTAGAAGAATGTTACTTAATTCCACTCAAATATTTAAACGATCCCTTGCAGTCTCTGTTCTGGCCTTATCGCCAGCGGATCAAACAGTCATGATGTCGCGACAGCACCATCTTTGCTGTGCCTCCCGCCGTAAGAAAGGATTATAAGTCACTTGAGGCCACGTCTAGCTCTGGTAGGGAAGGGACGCAATCAATTGCAGGAAGCCCTCGATATTGTGTGCTGAAACCTCGCAAAAAAGGTCCACGTTAAATTCTCTGACATTTGGAGCCTGGACGCATTACCCGGCAACATATCACAATCCAGCCGAGACGGAAACCATCGGACGCATCCAGTATCAAAAGTATGAATCCCATTGATTCCATTGATCATGGTAATACCGGATGCGGACGCGACTGAATAAAGCTGAATTAGGAGCGAATCTTTTGGGTGAGAAATGAGGTATTCACCAGTCTCAAGCAAAAAAAAAAAAAAAAAAAAAAAAAAAAAAAAAAAAAAAAAAAAAAAAAAAAAAAAAAAAAGTCCGTGAAGCCGCAGTAACCACGAGGCCATTAATGCCATTAAGCCGTTTCTCAATCAGAACAGCCTGCGAGGTCTATGGCTTTATAAAGCATTCTCGGCCCCTAGGTGCCTCCCCATAACAGCTCCTCGTAAGGACATACTCATGTTGTTGCTTATTGTCCTTTTGACGCAACAGCACGTCGATCTACCGTCACTGTATCATGGGCAACAGGGCATGGACTTCTGGGTAGTGTACCATGCTGCATTTTGAGGCATCCGTACGTAATTTATAGCCTGTTCAGAGCTTAGTGCCAGCTAGACAGCTTCTTGCACTGCGTGATCAAGGAGAAACGACGGTCGGTGCTGATGTACTGGAATGAGTGGAAGTCAGTCGTGACAAGGATATAGTTGAACACATCATTCAGTATCGGGACTGATTACCATGGCTTTATGAGTGGGATTATCTTCCCTGAAGCATAGCTGTATAATGTGTCTAATCCGTAGACAAAGCCACGGATATCATCACACTAAACCTGAGTACTAAGCAAGCCGAAACAGCAGTCGATGATTACAATTCGCAAGTCTTCGGCGGATCTTTTATTGGTTGGCAAAGCTACGGAGGTCAACAGGGGTCATCAGGCAACAACAACCTCTACTAATATGTAGTGGTAATATCTAGTTAGTGCTCTGAGGGGTACGGTGGGATCCCCGCCAGTCAACCGGGCCTTCAAGTCGGTTTCATTTTGTACACCAGCCTTCTTTCTCTTTGCCTGTAGTGGCCCTCGTGCACTGGCTGGGTGTTTGGAGCCGGATGAACCACTCTCGACATGGTAATTGGTGGCATCAGTCAGGCACTGCTAGGATGGTGGAGATATCGGTCGGCGTTAGCACTTAGCTTAGCCCGAGTCTCCGAGAAGAGGCTAAATGTCAGTCCACCTGAGACACAAGGCTGTTCCCCTGACTATCCCACAAAGTACATCACTGGTTGCATCCTAGGACACCAACCGGTAGCTGGCAAATGGTCGGCTCATTTGGGCCGATAAAAGCGGATTGGAGCCAATCAAATACTAGCCAGGTCAACATCTCCACTGCACTGACCTCGAGACGCAGGGATACCGACCGGATGAAAACCACCCATGGCTAGTTTTTGATTGGACCAAGCATGAGTTTATTTAGGGCTCATCATTTTGGCGGCGGGCGAGGCCGCTGTGGATGTTCTCACTGCGCCCACCCCGCTCTAATCCTTTGAGCCCTTGAGGGTGTCTTTCGATTCTCCGTCGGACGAGGCTTTGCGATATTTTGTCTCATTCTAGTGAGAGAGGCCGGTCCCCGCTTATAAATTCGGCCTCGTGTCGTTGACCTTCTTTACTCTCTTGCCGCCTATGATGCTCAGCCTCGCGCGCCACTTTCATAAGCTGCTTCCTTCCCAATATCATCCTTACAAAGCTTGGTCTTGGTATGCTTATCTCTTGAGCCTCGCTCTCTTTCTAGTCTTGGCCTCAGTCTATTTCGACTCGTGCCCCTTTGCCCATTCAAGTTTAGTCTCAGTCTAGCCAAACGAAGCCAAATCCTTGCAGCGAAAGAGCCCTGGCATCAAAACACGAAATGTAAGTTCCCAGACACACGGAGACAATATACAGCATGGTTTTACCTAAGAAAATCACATAAACCTCAAATGGCATCCAAACCTCTGATTACATTGGCGTCCCTGCAGTCAGTTGCTTCACAGCCATGTCGACTCCAGAGCCACTTCCCAACCCCCAGCGCGTCATCACCGACACCGATCTCGAGACCGGCATCTCTCATTTCAACACGACGCTGGACGAAAGCCTTGCCGTCAAACAGGATCTCGGAGGCTCCTTGTTCCGTTTGGGATACATCACTGACAAGACCCCCAACACGCTCGATGGCACCGATCTCACCAACTACACGGAGTACCTGGAGACTGCCAGCGTGCCTCCAGTCACCCTCCCCGACGGCCGTGGTATGATCTGGTACATCGACACCCCTCCCGGCAAAGGCAGTCCTTCCCACCGCACCCTCAGCTTCGACGTCGTCATTCAGGTCGCAGGCGAGATCGAATTGACTCTCGAGTCAGGCGAGAAGCGCATCCAGAAGCCTGGTGACATGGTCATCCAGCGCGCTACCACTCACAGTTGGAGAAACCCCAGCGAAGACAAGTGGGCCCGTATGGTTGGTGTCATGTACTCCAGCAACCCTGTGGTTCTCAAGAATGGCACCGGACTGGGTCCCTCCGGGCTCTAATCGCCTTATCAGCAATGGTATAGACTATTTGTGTCTACATAGAACAGCTAATTCATATCCGGCCCTTTTACTTTGAACAAATCCAAGCCTCTAAGCTTCTAGCAGAGTTGGCAATATATCTTATCTGCTAGTATACTAAGCAGTTCATTATACAGAAAATTACCAAAAGTTCAAATATAAAGGCCCACCATTTTCTGTCTCGATATACTGATTGGCTACTACTATGGTAAATGACTTTGTAATTCCCTATCTCAAGAACGAACACACTATATGAGCAATTGATTGATAGAAAAACATGTTCAAGAAGAAAAGCATATTCGAGTACGACATCATCCCAAAATCTCCACAGGAACATCCACCACCTTATCACGGATATAATCAACAAACCCCTTCCCAAACCCATCAAGCCGACTCGAACTACTCACGCCCCGTCCCAGAATCCCATAGATGACCAAGTGCACTGCCATAATATTCGGGAACTCGACGCGCTCAATAAAGAAGCTGTCATTCCAATCCTTGCCGATGAGCTCTCGCATTCGATCTCGGGTCATATATGATCGAAGCCAGGCCCAGTGCTTGGGGTTCGTAACGAAAAGTCCACAGTTGAGGTTTCCGCCCTTATCGCCTGAACGTCCGAGAGCGATGTCTCCCAAGCGGAGTTTCTTAGTGGGGCTTTTGAACAGTTGTGATTCTGCTGGGTCGTAATTATCCCGGGGTGTGAGTTCTTGATATTGTGGGGGATGACCGGTATCGTATGAGCTGATGTTGTTGGATGCGTCTATCATAATTATTTTCTCGTGGATCTCGGATTGCTTTATTAGCGCTGGGTAGTAGGCAAGGAACGGTAGGGGAATGGCTGTTCGAGTGTCCAGTGATGTATGAAAGCCTGCACATTAACCCTTCGTGTTAGATGACTGCAGTCTATATATATGTGATTGGATTAAAGAAAGTAAATTGGGCCACGTACCGGAGAAATGCTTGAGAGAGATATCTTTCATAGCCTTTGCTACAGCCAGAACAGCGCTTTCTGACTGCGATGCCACAAACACACGCAGATACGTAGTACTTTCGGCCTGGAAGGCTGGATTGGCTGCAGGTGTTCCAATTCTACGAATGTTAGGCAGTGAACGAGCACGGGAAGGACAAGTCGTACCTCTGAAACTCCAAAGTCTCCAAACTTTTCTTGACTTCTTCAGGAAGAAAATGACGCATCTGCCGCTCAAAAAGATCCCACTTCTTATCCGTAGCATACCCAGTTGCATTGAGCAGAAGTTGGGCTTCGTATCCTCCTCGGTAGAAGACAGCAAGCTTGGTCGTCGGGGGTGGAGGTGATCCTCGAATACCCGACACGTGCACCCTGTATTCATGTTTCCATGATTAGATATGTTCGCTAATCCAAAATAATCGCGCCAAAGTACTTACCTATCTTTCCCCACGTCTTTGACCGCAACATCGCCGATATAACCACTCACGTCACTATTGAGATAGATATTCCCCTGCAGCTCATACAGGAATTGACTGCAAACAGTCTCCGAGTTCACGATACCCTGTGTGTTTGGGTGTTTCGTGATAACGCATGTGCCATCCGCAGCAATTTCAGCGATAGGAAACCCGGGAGCAACAAGATCATCCAGAGGGTATTTATCAAACCCAGCAAAATTGGCACCAGTCACATACGCAGAACACTCGATCAAATGACCAGCAATCAGCGATCCGGCAAGCTGGTCGTAGTCTGTCTCTGACCAGTTATGCCAGTACCACGCTGCAGCGATAACCGGACTGGCGTCTGCAACGCGGCCACAGATAATGATATCGGCACCTCGGCGCAGGCCATCCACGATGCCACGGGCACCCAAGTACGCATGTGCAGATACCATTGGGACGGGCTTCCCATCTTGTGTGTTCAGGAATGCGTAAGTGAGATCTGAAGGCACCACATCTGCGTTCCCGGCATCAAGATGGGTCAGCTCTTCTTTAGTGGCTGGCATGTTTGGTCCAACGCGATCATACAAGTCATCACCTGAGAGGTATGCAACACGGAGATCAAGCTTCTTTTCAGATACCTATAGAATAGAAAGCTGTGTCAGTATGCTCGCCAAACTCTAGTATACGGAAGTAATGCGGCCTACCAGAGCTTGGATCTTCAGTGCAAGAGCTTTAGGATCCAAAGCACCACCGTTGATGACCACTCGAATACGCTTCTGCGCGATCACTTCGATGGTCTGCTGAAGTCCTTCCCAGGCAGTAGCTTCGTATCCGGGATGCCTTCCCTCTCGCCATGCCTGAGCATTGTTCGCAAGATTGACTTCTACACACACGAGCTTAGAACCGCTGTTGTTTCGTAGAAGTAAGAGAAGTATGGCTTACCTGCAAGATAATCACCCGTTATAAAATCAACATCTCCCAATGTTGCCTGTCGGTACATTTCATACGCGGGATCGCCTGCCATACAACATCAGCCTGACTGTCTCGCCCTGAATGTCGGCTGCCTACCATGATATCCAGAGCAGTTGGCGACCCTAACAGGGCGTGTCTCTGTTGCAGATGACATGATTACAAGTTGTAGACCTCAGTAGTAGTCGCTCAAGATAATCTATGAAGATCGATAGACACAATCCCCGCATTTCTTGGTATACATGAACCACGCCTTATATACCAAGTTCCCGTACCTCGGCCATCGTTCGGATATTCAGGTAATTGGACAAAGAATTGCGTCGTCGAATAGTGAGCAGCTCCTGGGTCAAGGATGTTGAGCATGGACCCTTCGATCCCAGTGGACCAATAGCATCCCCTTGCTTCGTGGTGTCTGTATCCCTAAAAGGCTATGATTGACTTTCATCCTTTGTGTCCCCGTGGCCCGTGGCAAGACCCCTCACAGGATATGGAACGATTTATCCCCAGTGCATCCAAGTTATGCAGCATTATAGTGAACCATGTGTTCATTAGTCAATCAAAACCCCTTATAGTTAAACGTCATGGGTTAGTAGATCATTTCCAGTTTGTTGGTAGCTGTGCCGTGGACCCCGGACTTGGAACCCCGCGGGCCGTGGAGCCAGAATGTCCGGGCCCTTTCTTTGTCTCCTATGAGAATATGACAGCTAACGCAAGGGGTAGTGTCGCGTCGCTGGGTTATCTTCTTCATTCTACCCTGAACTGAATATTCCGTCTACTTCTTCTCCCATTCTTTGATGGTACTGACATAACTCTAACCAACAATGACACTGGCCCACGAAACTTTTCCCGGTACGGAGGTCTACGGACCTGGCACTTTCATCGACAAGACTGTGCTTCCAGTGCCTGTAGACGCTCGTCGGGTGTTTGAGCTTCTCGCCTCTAGAACCCCTGGATTTACCCAGAACAAAGCACTATGGGATACCGTCCACTTCGAAGGACGACCTGAGCCTATGGTTCAAGGTCCGATCAAATCACCCGTCATGGCAGCTGCGCTTCATGCCATGGGAGGAGTGGTGGCCAATGAGCTTCTCGAACTGCGTGATGGAAAGCCCGCGACGGAGAATAGTGTGACAGTCAATACCGACCATGCAGGCATTTGGCTCGGATCTGTATTCACCACGTACATCAATGGTTCCGATGTATCCGCCCTGGCACGGTCGGGGAAGTTGAATTCACTCTTCGAACAGAATTATGAACAAGGCTTCGGCAAAGGAATAGCCAGCCGGGCAACTGCTATTTACCAAACGAAAGATCCCAAAGTGTGGTACCAGCTTCATGGTTCACTCGACGCAAACGCTGCTCTTCGGACAATGGGAATCAACCCAGATGTGACTTTCAGCACATCCCAACAATACTATGACTATATCCAAGGGCATATCATCAAGTGGTCGCCCGATGAGCTTGAAATGCACAATGTGCGTCATGGTCTGTGTGGAAGCATCTGCTACTCTCCGGAGGGCTGGAGGAAGACGGAGTTTGGTAAACGCCTGTCCAGACACCCCTTGGTCAATGTGACGGCCGAGACATATGCAAAGCCTACACCTCCAATCCCTCTAGTCAAGGGTCTATCTGACAAGCGGCCACTTGCTGGAATTAAGGTCCTGGAGATGGTTCGTATCATTGCTGGGCCGCAGATCGGCGTAACCTTGGCATCCTACGGGGCGGACGTGATCCGTGTGAATTGTAGCAGACTAGTTGACCTTAACGTATGTTTTGCCTTGATCCAGTGTCGCGTAAAAGCCTACTAACAATTCTTGGGTTCTAGGCACTCCAGCTCACACTGAATGCGGGAAAGCGGACAATTGACCTCGACATCACTAAGCCGGAAGACATAGAACGACTGCAAGAACTGCTTGCAGATGTTGATGTTTTCATCCAAGGGTTCAGAATGGGTTCCCTGGAGCGGAAAGGACTGGGGCTCCGCAACATGCTGGAGATAGCAGCTAAAAGGAATAAGGGAATCATCTACGTCGACGAGAACTGTTACGGTCCAGATGGCCCATTCCATGAGCGTCCTGGTTGGCAACAAATTGGGGATGCGGCATCTGGAAGCGAATATGTAATGGGTCGATCACAAGGCTATGAGGAAGGAAAGAGTGTATTGCCACCACTCCCTGTGTCTGATATGATAACGGGCATTGTCGGTGCGGTTGGTGCCATGATTGCGGTAAAGAGACGGGCAGTTGAAGGCGGCTCATATCACATCACTAGCTCCTTGGTTGCTGCTGATGCAGTTGCATTGGAGAAGGAAATAGGATTATACCCCCCTGAGGTGGTACGAGACACAGTCGAGCGATTTGGGTTCAAGGAGATTACTCCTGATCAATACGTTTCCGAAGTCCTGATCCCAGTCATTGATGGTTGGAAAAGAGGTTTGCCTCATGACTTGGATGAGGACTCGAGGTTCATGACGACATTCAAGGAGCCAGGACCCTGGGGCCGCCAGACTCTCTTGAAGCCTGTTGCAAAATTAGGTCTTGAGGAGTCGACGCCAAGATGGACTTCTCCTCCTGTCCCGCACTGCCATCATGGTAGGGACATCAGTTGGCTTTAAAAAAATTCGGGGTATGGAGATTTGTATATAGTTTTCTGAGTCAAGCAATCATGTCTCAAGTATCTGGCATATTGGCCTCCGGTATATCCACTCCCGGAACGACTGGAAACGAAGGCGCACCTGAAACAAGATCCTGCCAGTTCCAAAATGGCGGTAGGGACCACTGCCAGTTAGTCGCCTGATCAACTTCGTTGAAAGGCCCCAGAAAACCAATATCTGGGTAGGGCCCCTGCGGCATCACATTCGTAAACTGTGCGCTTCCCATATTTGCCGCAGAAGCGCTACCAAAAGGAGTCGGTAACGCGTCGGAAAGATTGGGGGCTGTATTTTGATTGATCCCAGGGCTAGATAGACTAGGCCTGTCATTTTCGTTATTCTGCATAGTTGCTGGATGGTGGTGGCGGGCAGGTTGCGCCGTCAAGAAGGCCCGCCTGGCAGAACGTTCTAAGTCAGAGCACATGCCCAATACAAAGTCGATATATGTATGAGGCTCCTCGGAAGAAGTACATGTGAGAAGTTTAACCACATTCTGGACCATTGAAAGATCGTCCCCAGCATCTGAATGTGTAGGTTGTGCGAGTATCCTTAAGGCAAGAGGGACACATGCTGCCGCTGGAAAGTAAATGATGTTCCTTCAGAGATCAAGGTTAGCGTAGGCCCTTTGGAGACGTCGATAAGTACTCACCACTTGTAGGTAGAGCCGAGCGAAGGTACATGTGATAGTAGAGCCAATGCAGAACGTGCTGCGTCGAGTGAGCGTGAAATAATTGGCGCAATATCCTCGTCCGTTCCATGCCTAGACCGCCCGATAGCGTTTGCTTGAAACACACACACCTGATAAAGGTTTGAGTAACAGCAGTTATATGCGAAATGCAATCGAAGGACATGTTGCAGGAAATAAGTTGGTTTACAATACAATCTGCGCTGGGGTTGAAGCCTCGAATGTAAGGTCTTCTTCCAGCTCAACAGCGCGTCTTCACAAGACTTTATTCTCTCAATAACATCATCACTCGATTCTCGACGAATAGTCACCGTGTAAAGCTTCCTATAAACAAGCCGCTGAATCTGAGCTAGTTGAGCAAGGAGACGGAAGTAATTCATTCTAGTACCGTCAATCGTTAGTATGCCTCTGCCGTCAGGTGGATTCTCTGTCGGTAAATTTGTATCATAGTCTTCGATATCCTGGACCGGCGGGCGGCCCACCCTGATGGAAATGTCTGAGTCAAGTATGAAAGCGATCCAGTACATTCTTCGCCTGTGCTCCGCCTCGGGTGAAGCTCCAGCGCCGTTGTCTCTATGCAGTCCTATTGACTGGGCCAGACGCATTGCTGCAGCCGCGAACATAAAAAGGGCTTGGGGGTTAGGTGTACCCTGAAAGTAAAGCGCCAGACCTAAGAGGCCCTGCACGGCGGCAATGTCAGTGTTTTGAAGGAAGACGTCAACTACAGCGTTCAGGGCATTCTTAACATGTCCCAACGACTTTTTCCACTTGTCACTAGGATCAGAAGAAGCATGCGCCCTTTCTCTGTATGATATGGCCAGAGCAATGTTGAGAGAGATCCACCATGATGCACTATTATCGGGGTTCCATGAGTATTGTCTGTCGACGGACCTCATGAACGAGCCCTCCTCAAAAAGAGGAATTGCTTGGTTAAAGGTTGCAAAGTACTCTCGCATTAGTTGGACAGTTGTGTCCTTACATGGTAGAGGTTCGAAAATGCGCCGTTCAAGGCCATCTTGAAGAATTTGAGGAACCCAGCTGGAAAGTTGCCATGGATTAGCACTTCTTTGAGGTGCGCGTCGCCAAACCCCAATATCCGGCTGTGCCTCTAGCCCATTTAATTCGGCATTTGTTAGTGCAGAAAATGCGGACGAAGCCCCTAATCTCGATCAATAACTGGGGCGAAATTCAGATGACGATGATGCGACCTACCAAAATAGCGCATTTTCCCGTCCTGTGCGTCGATGACTATAGATTGATCGTTCTCGGCGGGAGGGTGAGGACCCTTGTCAGATGGTACCTGAGACATTCCAGGGATGTTGTCTCCGTCTGTCGGGTCTTCTGGCTCCCGGTAATTGGTACTGCTCTCGACTGACGAGCCCGGCGAAGTTGAACGTCGGGTATTCTCTTTCTCCACGCCTCGCTGGCCTTGAGTTCCAGAACTAGTCAAACTCTCTAATTGCTCCTGCATTTTTTCAATTCGCTTCTCTAGCCGTTCAACATATGTCCTACGCCCATCAGTCATCTGCTATGAATGGTAGCTATTTCTTGGGTAGGAGAGCCTAGCACTTACCGACTCTCGCGTTTCCGGCGGTCCATGACATCTTGATACCCGCAAGATAGATTGAATGCGTGGCAAGGTGAACAAATAGGTCGCTTTCCATCACATTTGACCTTTTTACGCCGACAGGTATTACACGCCTTAGGTGTACCAATTAGCTGGTTACTATATAGTTTGAGATTGAACGAACTCACTTTAGCTCGCCGGACGATGTTGGTTGTAGATGATTGTGTTTTGTTCATCTCTCCTCAACTTTTAGTGATTATAATGGACTCAAACCGGAGCGCAAGACCTTATATACAAGCAATTCGGATTAACAAGTAGAACGTAGAGTTTGTCGCAGATTGGAATATCCAGTGTTCAATGGATATAGTAAAATGGACATAGTAATTAGTTGACGCAAGATCGCGCCGTTGGCTGCCGTTCTGGTAGACTAACCGAGGCTTACTAGTCCCGGTGAGCTTACTGCACAGGTGCGGATTAAAGATGTTCCTGACGGGCCACCAGAAGCGTATGTCAGGGTCGCTGCAGCAAAAGACGACAAAGATGATAAATTATACGCTGAATTCTCGCCTTAGGTGACATGCAAGTATCCACTACCTCTGATTCCTATGTATACCTTTTCATCTCAAACTAGTTTCACTCTTACGAGGAAATTTGGAGCAATCCACAAGGCCTCTTCCCGTGAACGTAAAATATATATTTGATGAAAGATTCCCTCAAACCCTATCATATCATTTTCGCCTAACAAGTATGTAACGATCAAGTCCGGAGCCCCGCTCATATACCATTGCAGCAGATCCGAGTCTTGACCCCAGCTTAGCTCGCTCAGTACACCGGCCAATTACTGAACCACTTGTTCATGAAAGACTGCTTCTCGGCTGAAGCCACCAAGACTGGCTCCCACGCATCGCCTAATTCCATCACCACTGGCTCAGCAGCATCGTTGGCCGGCCAGTTGGGCAGCCCCGGGCCATTGGGATTCCCAGAGCGCAGAAAGTTTACCCAATAGTCGGACAGCCGGTCGGCGATTGCATAGTCCTCAGGCTTCCAAGGCTTGTCAGTCGCATACAAGTTGTTGAACGCATAGTTAATTTCACTCATGTGGTACGCGCCCTCATCCTGGCCTGGGGGGGCATGGGTCCAGTAGTAGGTGTAAGTGCTGACAGTGCTGTTGCCCGAGGTGTTGCGCGCGACTCCGGCTTGATACTCATTGGCCCACTCCCAAAGGGAGATGCGGGTCTGGTCCTGATAGAAGGTATTGCTGGCGGCATCGGCGCTGCTGTTACTGTTCCCTGCAGGATATAGTTGGAAGAACTCAGCGGCCAGGCCGACGCTGCCAAACTCGTACTGATTCTGGCGCGTATAGCTCTCGACCGTCATCCCGGGATTCGGGGTCGCACCATTTTCATCTCGGTTTCCGCCAGTCAGAACCGCGGCGATGGTATAATTGCCCTGCTGCAGCATCTCCTGGTAGGTAGCCGGCAGTACGTAGCCGTCCAGGACGGGACGGAACAGCGGGGGCTCCATATAGACCGAGTTGTTGGCAAAGACCGTATTCACGTAAGTAACGTCACTCGCATCGGCGCCGGCCAGGAAGACCTCGACTGGAGCGGCACGGGCCCCGGCAATCCCTGAGAGATTGAGGCTGTTGAAATACGCAGTCCCCTGCGCCTCCGCGACGGCGAGACGGCGGTATCCCTCGGCCACACTCCCGATTAGGGGATCGGAAGGGTAATGAGCTCCGCTCTCGGCAATCACCTGCTCGAAAAGCCCGTCCGCAAGTGGACTGTTCAGATGATCGAGCACAGCAGCGGCGCCTGCTGACTGGCCACCAATAGTAATGCGGGTTGGATCGCCCCCGAAGGCGGCGATGTTCTCGTTCGTTCAATGCAGCGCCGCCTGCTGGTCAACTAAGCCGTAATTGCCTGAGGTACCGCTAGACGAGTTCTGACTGAGTTCCGGGTGGGCTAAAAAGCCCAGCGCGCCCAGTCGATAATTGACGGTCACAACCACGACCCCCTTGGCGGCTAGACCGGCCCCATCGTACAGGGCCTGGCTGCTCGATCCCGAGCCAAAGCGGCCCCCGTAGAACCAGACATAGACTGGAAGCTTGCTGCTGGACGAGGCAGGTACCACACCGATCCTGGTTTCCGTGTTATTCTGCACGTCGTTTAGGGTGGCCGTATCGGGAGTCCAGATGTTGAGATACAAGCAGTCCTCGCTATAATAGCTCGACCCGGGCTGGGGACAATCCGGGGCAAACTCGGTAGCGTCACGGACGCCCGTCCATCCGCTGACATGCTGCGGATGACGCCAACGATAAGCTCCAGTCGGGGCGGCGGCAAAGGGGATTGCCTTGAGGTTGTAGACCGAAGAGATGCATTGTGATCTATTGCCCTGCACCGTGCTCTCGTATGTGTCAATATAGACGGTGGGTGACTGCACTGGAGCGACTGACGAGCTCAATGTGCTTCTTGACTGGGTCGGCGTGCCTATAACGCGGCCATATGCGGCACTGGCCAGCAAGGAGCCCCAGATGAGGAGCTTCATTGCTTTGGATCACGATGGTTGAAATCTGATTGTCAGTTGAAATTGGTCGGGGTGATGCAAGCTTATTTTATATTCCTCATTGCTCTTCACGCCCCTCGTTTCTCAACTCCAGTCGCTCTGAGATCTACTTTTCCCTTTCCCCACTTTTCCCCAAGATTGAGCTTCGCTCCGTAATGTCTTCCTTTCATGTGGGAAGAACGGGTGTGCCTACGGACATCGGATAACGGAGATGGTGCGAAGTCCGACATTATCCCCGTACACGTCTTACTCGCCTTTCGTCCTGGCTGCACTTTGCATACCCCCTTTGCATGGCAAGCACTGTTCGGATCAGATGCCAGTTGATCAAGATATATTATCCCACCTTTGAAGGCATGAAAGTGGATTATAAAAGGTCTGACAGTATTTTGAACGTGTGAGGTTGATCGGGACATGCTCACCCTGTAGTGCGGGACGGCTCCGCGTGCTTGTTTCATCTCCACCAGCAAGGGAACAGACGAGTTGCAGAAGATAAGCATTGACCCTATTGGGCCGTGCCCGACATCGGGGGATAGTCTACTTTCGCCTTCCTATTTGCACTGCGGCCTGCAAAGTAATGAATGGACCTGCGACAGGAAAGGCTTGCCCCCGCATTTGATGACGCGGTCAAGCCGGCTGAAAGCTTAGCTCCGTCCCTGTTTGCTAGACCGCGGAGCAGGGCATGCCCTGGATTATTGTCCCTCTAGCCCAGAAGAGCAGCCTAGCATGTTAATCCCTATTTCAGAGGATTCCTTGGCACGGACAATGTTACTTGACTGCAAGTCGGGCAGTCGATGCACTCAACCGTCAACCACGTCTAAATGACAGCGGGCTGAGATTGACAGCAGCTCTGTCGTCCCCGACAGATCTCCTCCTATCCGGGTTTGGATGCAATCACGACAGTGTGGAGGACAGTGCTCAAGGATAAGCTGATATATGATGAAATAATGTGGGGAATCGAATGAATGGATGTAGTAGACGGAGCTTATCTGATTCAATTACATATTATGCATTCTGCCGGCATTAAATAATGAGAAAACGTTATGTCCGACCGCCGCTAACCGCTTCCATAGCCCGTTTGCGCCTGTAAAGCCGAGCTGTGTTCACCGCCTTCCATCAGGGACCTGCTCCCCGCAGCATCTTCGGTGGGAGATAAGGCACGCCGCTATCTAACATCCCAAAGTTGCTGGCACATTTCGCATTTACATTCTCGTTCTGTATGGCATTCCAAGCGCCCTTTCCTGAGTCTCACCGCATTGGCCGTACCAACTTACGCTAACCTTCTTCATTATATCCCTCAAGTCAGCATCCACCTCGTAAACAACATTCGCTCCCCACAAGCGGAATAATACAGTCACAACTGGAGCCCACCGCTCTCAATACATCCACACAATAACCCCTCGCATTTATACCAAACAACACCCACAATGTCCTCCACAACACCAACCACCCAAACCGACCAAATACCACCCCACCTCGACCCCCAAACCTACCCCCGCACAACCACAAACCCCACCCTGAACACCCACATCACGCTAACCTACCACCCCCTCGATCCCACAAGCGCACTATCCAAGATCTCCTCCCCCAACGCCGGCGCAAATGTGCTCTTCCTCGGCACGACACGCAACTCCTTCGAAGACCGCCCCGTCGCACAACTAAGCTACACCGCATACCCGCCTCTCGCGCTGAAGACATTATCCAAGATCGCGGAGGACGCGGTGACGAAACATGAGCTGCTCGGTGTTGTGATCGGGCACCGGCTCGGAGACGTGCCGATTGGGGAGAGCAGTATCGTGATTGCGGTTAGTGCGGGACATCGCGGCGCGGCGTGGAGGGCTGGCGAGGAGGTGTTGGAGCTGTGTAAGGAGAAAGCGGAGATATGGAAGAAAGAGGTGTTTGTGGATGGGCAGGGGGAGTGGAGGGCGAATAGGGATCGGGATGCGGAGGGGAAGTTATTGCAGGGGTGAAATGGGATATAAGTCGGTAGGTGAGTGGTCATGGCAATGATAGGTGACGGGTGGAGAATGCTAATTGACAGTCTTATTTTACAGTCACAGAGTAGGGTATTGTCTATGATACACATCGAGGCAGGCAGAGACCATCACCACTTAGTCCTTCTTAAGGGGCTTGCCCTCCCGCTTCCAGTCATTGATATGTTCCATGATCGTCCTCGTGGCCGACTCAGGCGTATCCTGACGACCGATGCACTCGACAAAGTCGTTATCGGGATCTGTCAAACAAACAAAGTCAGCTTCAGCTCAAGCAACCCCCCCTAAAAAAGGAAAAAGGAACATACCCATCAGATAGAAATAGATACTATGATCGACCAAATAATCCTCCCCAGGCTTAATATCCCTCGGGGTACTGAAGTACACCCGATACTGCTTGCAAACATGCTTAACCTCATCATACGTTCCCGTCAACCCAATAATACCAGGATGGAACTCCTTCAAATAAGTGCGCAGCACCTCAGGCGTATCTCTGGCAGGGTCACAAGTAATAAACACAGGCAAGAAAACATTCTCGCCCTTCGTAGCCTCCTTCACCTTGTCAATAATCTCGGCCATCTTGTCCAACTCATCAGGACAAATATCGGGACAATGAGTAAACCCGAAGTAAACCTACCCCCAAACACACAATACACAATTAGCCTCAATCCCCTTCATGGACCAACCAAGCCATAGGAAAAAAAGAAAAAGAGATACTCACAAAACTATACCTCCCCTTCAAATCCTCCGCCGTAAACTCCTTCCCATCCAAATCCTTCAACGTAAACGGACCTCCCACCTTCGGCTTCCCAACCCCCTTACTCATCTCCGCAATGCGCTTCCTCTCCAACCTCTCCTTCTCAACCCGGAAGTAAATAATCATACCACCGCCCGTCAAAACGAACAGCAGCGCCGCCTTCCACGAGAACGGGCCCGTCGAGTTCCGCGCCTTCAATTGGCCCATTGTGCGCGCGCGAAGGCAAGGCGGAGAGGTCGAAAAAGAGCGGCGGAGTAGTAGTCCTGCATTGTTGCTGCTGCTGCTGCTGCTGCTGCTGCAGCTGTTGATGTTGGTTGCTGCTCTGAGTTGCGCGGAGAAGAGACCGGTCGTCTTTGCGGCGGTGTGTTCAATTGGGGATAGGGCGGAGCGAGAGGTCCGTGTGAGGATCCGGCTCATGGATCTCATTGTTGATGCCATTTTCGGTGTTGTTTGCCCGGGTTGGGGAGGGGGGCTGGTGCACGGATTTTCTTGCCTTGAGGTAGGTGTGGTTTTCGGAGTCCGCGGCGGAGGTTTGGATGTTCGAGACAGCTCGGTCCGGAGGATTGGTTTTCTGGATGGGGTTTAGTGTCTGCGCCTTAGGCATACAAGGATTACTTCGTGTCACGTGTATTTTGGTGCGGGCTAATGGGTTATAGGACTTTTCTTCATTAATCTATAGAATTGGATGCAACCCACGTATAGGGCTTAATATCCATGGTTGAGAAGACATTAAGAATGGTAAAATTACAAATATTACACCCGACCTCCTGTCCAATGACGCCGGTGCTCTCCAATGCACTGCGCGAGGGGACCAGTCGTACATGCTTGCTATGCAAATTATTGCTCGCCGGGAAGTATGGTCGCCGAAGGAACAAGGCCACGCAGGTTGATATAATGGAACAGTAAAAGTAGAAAAGTAGAAAAACCGATGAAGCGAAAACGACAGGTGGTATTTTGACACGGTTCGTGGTGTAAAGACAATGCGAGACTTGGTATAAACGAAAAGAAAATGAAGCAAATGCATCTTTTGTGCCCGAAGGTTGTTGAAAGATGGTATGTACGGAGGAAGTCGGGAGTATTTCACTGTACACTTCGACTGGCTAAGCTGGCCCGACTGGGAGTCGTCCGCGGTTCCTCTTCTTCGATTACATCGCTGAGGCGCGTAGGATGACGATGGCGCGGGGTTACGGACTCCCAACCTGTTCCTACACCCCATCCCGAGCCGCTATAATCGACAGACTGGGTGTAGCCTCCGTATAGAGGTCCGGATGTTGTGGGCATAGAACTGGGTGGGTATCCACCTTCCTCTACTGACCCATGCTCATACTCATCGCTCGCTTCGGACATGGCAGGCTGGTAAGCAGTTGACTGGCCCTGCGGGTTGCGGCGGTAGCTGCTGCCGGCCTCTTCTTCTCCTTGCTCGCTACTAGCAACGCTGGGGCCGTAGGAGCGGTCATCATTCTCAGAGGTTGGCCGAGCTGGATATGCGGCGCCCTGTTCATAGAAATGTCCAGGATATTGTCTCTGAGCTTCCGGAGATGATGATGGAGGTTCCTGAATGGGCCTATGCCCTTCCACAAAAGGATCGGTACCGGTTGGAGACGCAGGAGTTTCATAGTATTGACCTTCCGTCACCGCTGTGGTTCTCGCGGCGCTCTCACCACTTGCGTATGGGTTTTCTCGGGTTGGCGGGCGATTGGTATTATGCCGACTGGCGGGGCCTGGGATCATCGGTACGACCTGTACGCCTCCGACTAATGTAGGTTCTCCATTCCGGAGGGATGTAGTGCGGTCGCGTTCTTCTTGTTCGCGCCGACCCAATTCTTCCCATGCGCGGCGGGCCTCGTCTTTGGAAATTTGCAACTCACGGCGCATTTCTTTCAGCAGCTCTTCGGCGCGTGACTTGTCGCTCTCTGCTTTCTGCAGTGAAGTGAGAGTATCAGACCGAGCTTGTCTCTCAGTCCTAACCTGCCTCTCTAGCTCCGCTAACAACTCTTTTGAGCGTTCTTGTTCAGCACGTGTATCGAAAAACCAACGCTGGAACTTGCGCTCCGATGAGGCCCGCAGGCGCTGCAACTCAACCACGGCATGGAAAAGATTGGCACCAGCGGCAGAAAGGTCCGTCACCTGGCGCGCCATTTGCTGATTCAGAGGATCGCGCTCGAGCGCTTCATTGTTCTGCTCCAGCTTGCGAATCCAGTAACCAGTCAAGCCTTCCCAATGGGATGAGAGTGTTT